CTCTGATTGCTTGATACGGCGCGGCCAGCAGCAAAAGTAAAATTTTTCCATCTCAAGCAGATGCTTAAATGCTCCCGACGCGCTGCTTCAGCTGCTCAGACGCGCTGCGCCTGCTGCTGAAAAAGCGCTGCGGGACCTTTTGCTGCGCCTTGATGCGCGTCAGCCATTGACTTTGCATGTAAACTCGCTGCTCCTGCTGCGTCCGGTGTAAACGCAGCATAAATGTCTTTCACTAAAGGAGCTGCTCAGCAGTCTGGTGCAGATGGTGGAAGGTGTTGTTCATGATGGATGGAAGCTTGGAGCACACCCTCCTCTCAGCCGCTTCCTCCACTGAGTCCAGATTGCAGCCTAGGACAGAAACAGCCTTTCTCATCAGTTTGTTCAGTCTCTGTGCTACAAGGGGCCCAGCAGACAGCGTAGAGGAGGGCTGATGCCACCTCAGAATCATAGCAGGGGTCTGCTCACTCCAAAGGACCTCAGCCTCCTGAGGAGATGGAGGCGGCTCTGGCCCTTCTTATAAAGGGCGTCTAAGTTATGAGTCCAGTTTATTATTGAAGTGAACACCCAGGTATTCCAGACTCTCCACAGTTTCAAAACAAAAAAAAATGATCCCACCTGATTCGTCTGCTTTTTATTCTTCAGATTATTTACTATAAAAGTACGATGAAACGCAAACATAAAACCAAACATCACTACAATTGTCTACAAACCAAAAGTAAAAGTCTGAGCTGTCAGAAGTTGAGTGGGATCAGATTTTTCTGGGACAGGTGGGGGAGAGAGTTGAATTGAAGACTTGAGCCTTTTATTTTATTTTTTTTTTTCCTTTAAGCACAGTGGACGGCGACCGCGGCTGTATTCTGATTGATGATACGGATCTGGTTTGTTTCAGATTCAGTGGTGCGTTCAGCAGCCATGCATTGGACGCTCCCTCCATTTTCTGTCCATCAGTTTTTTATTATTTTTTTTACATTTCAATTTTTTCTTTTGTCTAAAACAAGACCTGTCATGAGGTGTAGCTTCATCATCAGGTGATTTTTATCATGAGGAAGAAGCAGCAATATTGGTCTAAAATGTGCACCATATGTCAGGTTTTCCTGTTTTATTCCCAGGTTGAAATGTTTGAAGTTGAACTTGTGCTTTTAGGTCAGCGAGGTTTACAAACTGCACAGAGAGACTTATCACCTGGCTCAGGACTACTTCGATCGCTTCATGGCCACACAGACGAACGTCTTCAAATCCACCCTGCAGCTCATCGGCATCACTTGTCTCTTCATCGCAGCCAAAGTGGAGGTAAGCCTGGAGCTGCTGGTCTCTGATTCTCTTCAGGAAGCTCGGTTCCTTGGTCCAGACATGTTTTCCTTTGTGCTTTAGGAGATGTATCCTCCGAAGGTGCATCAGTTTGCCTACGTCACAGATGAAGCCTGCACAGAAGATGAGATCCTCAGAATGGAGATTATTATAATGAAGGTAGGGAACCCTGGAGCTCTGAGGAGCAGAACGTTTGGCTGAGCTTCTTACTATAGAAAAAAAGCCTCCCAGCTCATTAACATCAGGCGGGTTTCCCCTCAGTTCATGTTGGCTCTAATTCAGGATCATCCGGTGATGAAGCCTAGAAACACGTGGAGGTGCTAAAACGGAAAATAAATGGAAAATCAAAGGAGCAGCTTTAAGCTACAGAGAGTAGAGGAGCTGAGAGCAGCTTTTAAATGAGGAGAGGCGGAGAGCTGTCCTGTGATATTATAGGTTGTGTGACTGGATTAATGTAGTTTTGATTGAGTGGATCATTTCTGAGTTTAAAGTTTGGTTTAAATGTTAGGTTAGCCCAGAATAAATAAGGCTGGGATCTGTTTGGTTTTTACTTAAGATGATAAATACAAAATAAACCCGAGATTTTATTTGACAGAAAACTGAAGATCTTAAATCGATGCTTACTGCGTTCATCAAAAATATGCATGAATTCTCAGTTATTTATCAATTATTGGTCATTTTAGTATTTTGATCAGTTGTTTTCTTCATCATGAAAGTTAATCAGCAAAAAAGGAACTGAGGAGAAACAGGAGGAGGCGAGAAGCCATGAACTGATGTATGAGGAGAGACGATCACCTGGTTGGATGTTTGGAGCTCCAGAATCACAATAGCTGTAGTTATTTATAAGAAAGATCAGTTCCATAAGAAATGGGAGGCAAATGGGTTCCTTCACAAAGTTGGTTTTTAATTTTTTCTTGACATGTTTTTTTCCCCTTGACAGGGTTCCCGCGGGTCATTAAAAGTCTTAAAAGCCATTGAATTCTTCAAAATAAAACTAAGGCCTTAGTTGGTATTAAAATGTCTTAAATTAGTCTTTCGTAGGTCTTAATTTTTAAAACATCATAAATAGGATCACTTTTATTGTGATTTA